TGTTGCGACACTAGGTGTTCATTTTGTGAGAGCTGGAAACTGTCCTCCTGAGCTTGCTACCAACTTTCTGTAGCTCTCTCCACTCCTTCCTTTTATATCTGACCTCCAAGTGGGATATAATACTTCATCTCTGCGCTCACCAGAACATTATTTCTTTCTCTTACGTAGAAGACTCCAACTGGTATACCTGAAAATGCCTTCTATGATGTTTCATTGTTGACGCATATTTAGTTTGTGATGCATTATTAGATCTTTCTCCACATGGTCCTCATTTTGTATTTGTACATGATACTTATGCATAGCACTCACATTTCCCCTTTGCTTTACTGAATCTTGTAAGATTTAATTTGTTAATAAATCCTTAGTAGAACTCGTTACATCAGCGGAAAACAAAGCAAACTATAACAGGGCTATAATAAAATTAAAAACTACAATTCATATTTATGATAAACTTTGCAGTGATATTTAAGACACCTATGATAGAAAAAAATTTTAGAAACATGCTTCTATATTTTTCTATTAATTTATTTAATATGTATATTTGAAGGCACAGATTGAGAATCATCTGGAAATCCAGGGTCTAGCCTAAACTAGTCAAAAGGCTCTTTCTAGTCAACCAAGAAGGAGAAAATCGTCCAGAGACTGATTCATTCTAAATGCTTTGATTGCCCAGTTTAGAAAGGTAGTAATCACTCCTTGGATGTTTCTTTCTCCACTGACTACAGAAGAAGCCAAGACAACTGCTTTAGAATAGATATCAAACTTCCAAATTGCTAAAATTACACAAGATGAGTCCCAGCTGCAGCTCATTCTCCCCCTGGAACAGACAATCAGACAATAAATTCCTCAAAGATTTAAGGCCTGACTCCCATTGATTTCTCACAGTGAGATTCTTTAAGAAGTTGACTTCAATGAGTTACACACCTAAATGTGGTGAATACTTTACATGGGGGCCGCAAAACATTGACAAAAATCTTACCAAATTGGCCTCTGACTATTTAAGCAGATAACAACCTTCAAGCACTTTCTCCTCTGGTAGAAATTTTGATCCCCGTTGCAGAAAGGAACATATGTTTGAGTTTAACAGTACCATAACCCCCACCCCAAGGAAGTGGAGGAGGGGAACACTGAGGACATTACTGTCTGGGAGAGCCACTGCTAGGTTCGACAGAGCAGCTCTTTCAGATTCCCTTTTTGGCTACTTCTTGATCTTTCTTACCACAAAACGTTTGCTTATTTAAAACCCCCCAACAAACTAAAAGAACGGGTAGAACAGACCTGGCAGGTGTTTTATTACAGTAGCACCATCCTGACATTACATCTACTTATTTTTATTCAAATTGACAACATTTCAATTTGAGTGTTCCTTAATGACATAAAACTAAGTCTTCTTTTTCCCTCTTTGAAGTTACATCATTGTAGATGTTGACTGTTTAATTGTCCTTGCAATCATGCACTAACTTCCCACTTAGCCCCAGCAGGACATGACTTGAACACATTAACAATCTTCACTAATGTGGACTGCCTTAGGATGTTTTAAGTTTATTTGTAATGGAGGCAAACACTCACTGTTTGGATGAATTCTATAAAAGCTGAACATATTCTGCCCTAGGCAAAGTTTTCAGAAAGAGTTCATATGGTTTTTCTGTTTGTAATCAGTGCATTCAATTATGCATAATTTGGTTTTCATGGTTTCACTGTTGGATCACATAAAGTCAAGTATAATTACTACCAAAAATAAATTTCTGTATGCACCTTGGAATATTCACTATGGACTTACGACACATTGGTAGGAGATTCACAATTACTGGGAAATTATTTAAGAATATTTTATTGTTTTCCTCAAATACAAGTGAAATTGCAATTGTTAATCAGAGGGATTGAAATAAATGGTCATGAAGTCTTAGTGCTATTATAAATTAAAATTAAAATTAATATCAATTGCCATACCAAATGGGTAGAAGAAAAGGAGGGTGGGAAAGCTCTGCATTTAGACTAATTTCCATGAAAAATATTCCATGATATTGGATGGGATTGTTCTTTACACACAAAGCAAAGAAGTGAAAAGGGTCTTCTGCATTCAATAAGGAGTTTTTGTGGGACTCTCTAGTAACTTCCAGACAGGCGCCTGAGGCAAAACTTCCTTTTGCCTATTGCAGGTTATTTAATGTATGCAAGCAGCCTCCACAAAAAGCATGTCCTGCTCCACTTTTGTTTTTTAAGCAGGATGGGTCTCACTAGTTCATCTCTCCCTCCAGCTGTGGCTTTAGTAAGAAGTTTTGCTAGCGTTAAGGTTTTTTTTTACTGGACTATATTGGAGAACTTGCAATAGGGAGTGATGATCTTGAGAGGATGGCCTCTTCACTTCCTTCTCCCAGACAGCCTTAAACATCTTCTTTGACTAGAAATAAAATGGAACTGTGAAAGTTTAGGAATAAATAGACAGGACGTTAATTCTGCCAATACTCCTACAAGATCATTTACTGGTAGGAAAGTCAATAAATGGGCCACTATTTTCTACATCACTCTATCAGAACCAAGATGTGTCAGAGTATAAGCAATGTCATTCTCCTTTGCTTCTGCTTTTTGCTGCTGAATACTAACAAAATGACTTTATTTACCCATGAAAAGTAGAAAATCCAAAATGAATACTAGACATAGAATTGGATTACGACATGATCCAGGAGTACAAGGGAAGACTTTTAATTCCTGAAGTGGCCTTAATGGACAAAATCATTTAGTAAATGTAACTGTTCACTCCTTTTGACCTTCTGACATAAATTCTGCAGATTTAGCTATAAGTACATACAGCAATATATAACTGTCTGATGTAGTGGCTTGAGACTCCTTTAAAAACTGAATAAAAAACTGTATTTAGATTAATCAAATTCTTACTTGTGTTATAAAAGATATTCTAATTTAAACTCAGAAAATGTATAGTATCTTAATTTGGTTTTGCTTAACTTAGCAATTAGTAAATTATTTTTAATAATCTGCTAAATTGAGTCTGATTTAGGGTTGAACTTTTCTGGAGGTAGGTTACTTGAAAGCAGTCCCTGATTTCAGTGCGTTAATGATATGCAAAAAAATCATATTTAGATTGCTTCTGGGTGTGTCTTTTGCCTGAAGTGAATACATATTTTAAACAGCATATGTTTGGACTTGAATCCATAAACCTGTGTTTATCTGATTTAAAATAATCAGAGACTGAAAATGATACCATTAGAATCAAGCCCTAACATCCCAAAGAATGGTCTACAGATCTCTACACAACCTCCTTTGCTCCACTCCCAACTCACCCAGACTACTATGCTTGGTAATCTTGTGGAGGAAATTAATCTCGTTAGCCAAAGAGAGAGCTTGAGGGTCTAGTTTTACAAGAATTTTTCTGTGCAGCCATGCTTCCCCCTCCTCAACATCATCCCTTCAGGCTGCCATGGAAAGGGCCTGCCTTTGCATAACCGCCTTCCTTGTGCAGCTACATGGAAAACTGGAGGATGAGGAAATTACTCCAACTCAGAATTAAAGTGTGTGTGTGTGTGTGTGTGCGTGCGCACAGTGTTTTTATTTTTTAAGGGAGTTCAGTCAAATCAGTCCCCTAAAACTGTTGAATGTGCATTTACACTAATGCTAATGCCAAACAAGGGTCGGCAGACATCCCTTGCTACGTGTGGAGATAACCAGGTAGAGGAATGGGAGACCTTTCATTTAGATATAAGCTTACTTAAGACAGGTATAGGCTAGCCAAACCTGTGAAGGAGGGATTTGTATTTGCTCATGTACAGTCACAGTGCACTCTCAACCTAAAACCAATGATAAAGAGACCCCTGGGATTGGGGACTGCCAGCCCTTACAGTGTTCATATGAGATGCAGAATCAGTCCCTGAGACTTCTGAAGAGAGCAAATTTCCCTGTGGGAAGAAAGACTTTCTGTCATGGACTCTGAAGTGCAGCATATAAGCATTTTAGGATTCATAATACATAATCAATTTAAAAATGTTTTATTGAGTATTTTGAGAAAAGAAGCTGCAAAGACAAATGGATTTTCTGAATTTATTTACCTTGCTTAATTTAAAACAGCTTCATATATTACTAGCACTAAATATGCATTAGGTTTTTCTAAGGCACAGTATTCCCTGCCTGCATGAGTGGTTTTCAAAATCACAAAACCAGAAGTTCCTGCCCTTTTTATCTTTTTTTTTTCTACCTTTGTTTCTCAGATTCTCTTGTTTCATGGTTCACATATGCACTGCATATATTATTGACTGCTATGATAAAATAAGTTCAAAATACTTTGTTTCTAATTTTTCTTTTCCTTGGATGTTAAAACTGGCAGCTTAATGACTCTGTTGCCACCTACTAGTCAATCACTGCCCTTGCCAAACTCAAGATAAGACAAGCTCACTTTCTCCAGATAATTGAGGCCCTTTGCTGTGCACTCTACGAACCGTAGTACAAGGCTTAGTTACCTCAAATCCTTTTTAATTTTAGTAGATTGTTCAATAATCACCCAGAGCAACATAAACATGAAGATCTTCCTCTTGAATTTTTGATCACTTTGCAAAAGTGGCAAGTATGACATATCTTACCTAAATATGAACAAAACATATTCAAGTGTCTCTGTACCTTGGTGTAATGGTGTGAAACACCTGGACAGCTAGAACTTTAGAAAGAGAAGGAAGCTTTCCCATTGACTTTGATGGGAACAAATACAGACGAATGAGAGATAGCTTCAAAAATCTGAATTTGCCACTGTCCTACTGTCTGTTTAGAATAGTTCAGTGTTTCACAGGCTTTGTTGATCTAATGTCACCCTAATATTTTCCAAAGGAAGAAGGCTGCAAAAGTCATCGAAATATTGACATGTCAATGCTGCCAGGACAGTTTTCATTCACAACAAATAAATGAGAAGAACTTGTAAAGATATACTAATTAATTTTTATCCTGTATTTTGTTTCTTTACTTGCTTGCTTTTATAGCAAAAAGAAAAAAGTGTAGGAAAAAAGTGTGCTCCTTCAGTATTTGTTTGTTTTCCCACAATAATTTCCTTAAGGAACGCTAGTGGTCAACGGAGCACAAGCTGACAAAACACTGCACAGCTCTGCACATCCTATGCACCTGGAACAGTTGTGTCAAGAGTGACATGTGAATGTTCGTAGTTACTCAGGACTTGCTTGCTTGGCTTGCAAATTCATGATTCCTGACTGAAATGTAGTTTTGTTTCTTTAACAAAATCCCTGTGTCCTTAGATACGCATGGAAACAATAAAAACAGGGACAAAGTTTCAGCCTTACAGATCTTGCTATCGGAGCTGTAAGACTTTGAAGGTTCAGGTTCACAGTGTCTAAGACGTCTACAATCTTTCAGGTGAAACATACAAACCTGGGAAGGAAAGAACAGTGTCCGTGAGCAGTTTGATGGCTGCTGCTATGGAATAGGGGTGTGTGAAGCCTACAGTAATTGAATCCATTGTAGGGTCCAGCCTTACATATGGAACTTGAACAATAGGTATTTACTTAAATTACATAGATTACCTCAGAGATGTGGAATCTGTACGCCCTGCCCACTCCCCTGAACCTTTGGAGCTGGGATCCTGTGGGGAACATAATGGGCTTAATTATGGTGTCTGGACTAGCCATGTAGGACCCAGAAGGCAGGAGTTAACCTCACCTCACCTTTTACATGCCAGTGACCCCAGGCTTGGCTGGGAACCCTCTGGGGCCTCTGGAGCAGCTTTTGGATTACCACGACATGCGCTAACTGGCGCGACGGCAAAGGGAAATCCCGCACGAGGAAGACCACGGTACCCGTGCCTTCTCACCACGGCCCGTGCGCCGTGGCTGCCGCTCTAAGCACTCAGGGCCCGCTGCCCGCTCCCGCCCGCCCACGGACAGGCCGGGGACAGCAGCAAGGTCCCACCGTAGTACCCGCCGTGATGCGAGGCCGGCCATGTGCCGCCGCCCGGCGCAGGCCGGGAGTGCCGCTGCCACGGCCGCGAAGCTGCGGGGCGCCACGCCAGCCCAGGCCTGGCACCCGCTCTCCCAGCCCCCGCTCCGCGGGGCCCGGCCGCGGCGGAGCGGGCAGGGGCTGCGGCTGTCACATGGCAGGGGGAGGGGGCTGCGGCGGGGCGGGCGGTGCTCGGGGCTCCCGCGGAGGCGGGCTGAGGCGGCGGAAAGTTTGCAGAGTGGCTGGCGGCGGTGGCGGCGCTGCGGCCCCCTCCCGCTTTCTGTCTTTACTTTTTTTACAGCGCCCCCCGCTCCCACCGCCTCCCGCCCTCGGTGGCCACTCCGGGGTATGAGCGGGAGCAGCCACCCGCACTGAGAAGCAGGAGGTCGCGTCGCGCCCCGCTCCGCTCTGTCAGTGGGGGAACGCCAGGGACGGGAGCGCGGGCAGCGGCTCTGAGCCCGCCATGCCCCGCCGGCCCCGCGGGGCGCCCGCCGCTCTCCCGGCGCTGCTGCTACTGCTGCTGGGCGGCGGCGCCGCCTCCGCCCGCTGCCCCGCACCCTGCCGCTGCGCCGGGCACCTCGTCGCTTGCAGCCGCCTGGAGCCGAGCCGGCTGCCCGAGCAGCTGCCGCGGGGGGCGGTGCAGCTGTGAGTATCGGGGCGGCGGGCACCGCGGGGGGCTGAAGGCGCCGTCCCGCGCCCGTCCGACCGCCATATTCTGCCCCCGGGGCCGCGGTCCGGTCCGCGGGCGGGCTTTGAGCGGCAGCGCGGTGTCGTGGCGGCCGCGAGGTGCGGGAGGGGCAGCGCCGGGGGCCGCGGCCGGGCTGTCAACGGGCGCGGCGAGGGCGGCGGCGGCCGCAGCAGGACAGCGTCCCTGGGGCGGGCTGCGGTCCCGGGACGCGGTGGCGATAAGCGCCTGGGCGAAATGGGGCCCGGGAGCGCTGTTCAGTGTCGGAGAGAGCGAGGAAAAAGTTCTGTTGACTTTCTTGGAGAGCGTTCAATAATCATCAGGCTAACACTGATTTGTGTGTCGGGAAAGCTGCTATCGCGTTTCCTCGTGTAGCTCTTCGCCCCTGTAGTTTTGGCTCTAGCGATGGTGCGCGCACCGGAGCGCGCCCGCTCGGCCAGCGCCGCGGAGCGACCCAACCCAGGTGACAGCTGCGGAAATCTATTTCTAGTGAAAAACTTTTATGGAAAAAGCATAAATTATGTCAGCTTTCTAAAAGCCCGAAAATAGCTGAGGGACTTGTCACATTTGTTTTTAATCCCTTGTCACTGAATGATCTTCCATATTAGTCGTATTAATTTTCGATTACATTTTCAAAGCAGATTGAGATAAGGGCTTTAAAGTAAACAGGAAGACTTTCAATTAGTTGTGGCTAATTCTGTTCAATTGCCTTGTCTGGAGGTCATGCTGCTTTACTCATGAAATGTGGATGGCTGTATTGACACCATATGGAACTGAACACAGACATGGCTCTGGGAGTTGAATATTTCCAGGACTGGCGTAGGAAAGTGTGAGAGGAAAGAAAACTTTTTTTTTGTTGGCTTATGTGATTGAAGCTTATGGATCAAACACTGGATCTGCTTTACATTCAACAACTGGTTTTGCTTCCTGTTATATTTCATCCTCCTGTTCTTTTGAACTATTTCAGGATGCTCACAAGCTTTCTGACAAAACCTAAGGCTTTTTTTGATATTAAGCTAAGCTTCATAGTTTAGTTTCTTAGCTTAGTTTACTTTAGTGCTATTAAGTTAAAATCCACGTGTGGTAAACAAAAAAACAAGGGGAAAAATAACAACACTTTCGTTTTTTAGACTTGCCTTAAAAAACATTTTGCATTAGCAGTAATTCAAATTTGTCTTTTCCACTTATGTTCCCGAGAGACAATAAAATGCGTTGCAGGGCTTTTTTGTTAGCACAAGAGAGATTTTTCTAATTAGAATTCCCTTGGTAGTGTAAATTGTCCTTATGTAAGTTCACATTCCTTTAAAAGTGTGAGAAAATAAGTTCTGCTTGTATAAATAAGCTTTGGCCTGTTGTAAGAAACCCTGCTGTAAGAAACCCTGCTGTGATTACTCAGTGGACAGCTGTGTCACTTGCTTTTAAACTCACAGGAGTACATCTTTTAGGTGTCACCAAACCATGTGGTCTGACCGCTTTTGTGTAAATATTTCTTTTGATTGTGTCAAATGCCTTAGAAGTATCCAGCTTTCTTCCTTCCCCTCTTAATAAGAGAACACGGAAGAGTGTGGCGTTGCCTGTTACCTCCAGCTACCCCAGAACTTCGAGCTGGGATTGTGCAATCTGTAAGGTTCATGCGTTCATCTTTACATATGCAAAAAAGGTTTGACTACTCTAGATTATTGTTGCAACATTACAAATTGTAAAAGACTGTTTATGAATTTTATTGCTATATGTTTACTGTGTTTTCCATGGAAGTCCATAGCAGGTATAGCCAAAGGCTAGTAGTTTAATTGCAGGCTTTCCAATCCTCTTGAGAAAACAACTATTACCCCGTGTTCTCAACATACGCAGGTGAGGTCTTCCAAGCAGCAGTGAAAGCTCTTCTACCTGAGAAGGTCTAGACCTATGTTATGCTTTACACCTTCCTTTGCCCATCTGTCTTAACCATCTTGCCCAGATAGTTAGCAGGTTTTTGAAACTCTTGTTTCATTCTTTCATGCCTTTTGTGTTCAAATCCCCTGTTGAAATAAAATAAAAGTGACCTCACAGTGGGCAAGGAGGGAAATAAAAAAAATAGACCCTGAGTTCTGTCCTCTTCTTTTTGATCATAAGTATGAGTCTACTGCTTTGTACAGAAGTGGCTTCACAGTGGGGTGTAAACAGGCCAACTTTACTGTGATTTTAACCAAAAATACCATATTCTGTTACCCTGCTTTTGTGGGAGATAACAGTCTACTGAAAACTCATAAACATTTTTAATGGCTTTGTGTACAAATAGTTTTGAATTTAGATTTACATTTAATTCCAGGATGTGTGTCCCAAGATTGTAAGAATGTGGCTTTGTTAGAGCTGGTGTAGCAGAGCTGGAAGAGGAGGGATGGAGGGGAAGAAAAGTGTTGAGCGTTGGCCAGTGTCTCCCAGGTGTGCAAACTCCTGCTGGCATTGCTGTACCCTTCACCAGGTTCACTGAGGAATGCTGAAACTGTTGGTGGGATAAGAGGGAAAGTCTGAAAGATGGTTTTCACTTGTGTTTATATTACATCTTTAGTATTTATATTTTATAAATCCTCTAGTGGTCTACCAGAACTGCCAGAAAAAAGGCCGTATGGTTTTCACAGCTGTTTTTCAATATTTTCCAGACTAAAACTTGAACATAGCAGGCTGATTTATGAGTCACTTTGGATCAGTGTCTTAAAACAGCTACAGCCTGGCTTTTTGTTTTTCAGCTCTGCTGATTTCTGCTGAATTAGCAGCTCTATAGGCCCCAGTGGGACTGATTAAGGAGCTGTTGCTGGATTTGCATTTTAAAATTTGACTTGGGGCTCAGGTTTCTGAGTTCTCTAAGGAAGATGATAATTTGACTAAGTGTTTTATATTAAGTTAGAGTCTAAAAGTTATATCTCTAAAATGTGTGAAGAAGCACTTGCTCTCTCTCTCCCTCTTTGCATTAGGCCTTCCTTTCAGTTTTTGATCAAACAGATGTGGTTCAGAGTTACATTTCAGCTAATGCTGAGACTTGTGACTTATGAAAGATGGTCATGCAAACAAAATGGAACATAGAAAATAGTTTCTTTCATAGGACAGGTTCTTAAAGGGCCTCCAAAACTGTGGCATGCTTTTTCAATTGGGGCAATTCTACTTAAATGTCCAATCACTTTTATTAGAACTCTGAAGTGAAGTACAGGTATATATGCTTATTATTTTTATAAATAATTTCTTAATATAAATCTGGTTTCTAAAGTTTCAGAGTGCATTCTTTATATCTTTAATGACTTCTGAAATTCTAGCAGCAAAAGTAATCACAGAGGAAATTTTCTCCCCACTTGTAATGTGATTTTAACAGACAAGGAAAATTTAGAAATGGAAAAAAGACATAGTAATAGTGTTTTAACATTGTCAGTTCCATTTCTATGAAGGAAAAATACTGCTTAATTTTCCAACTTTTTCGTCCTACTTGTTTTAAGATATGTTGAGAAATGCATTGAACTGAAATGTACTTGTAGCTTTGCAACAGAGATGATAGATTTTTATATTTAAAAAATGTCTCCAGTCCAGTGCTTATAAGTTTGAGAAACTTCTGCAGGCTTAAGCTTCACTTAGAACGTTAGTAAAAGGCAAATATTTTAACTCTTGGTTCACTTCCAGCCACTCTGATTTAACTTAAAATGTGACTTGCAAAGCTTTTTTCTTTTCCAGAAGTTTCTCATGCCAGTAGTACTAAAATAATGTTTAATAAAATATTGATAATTCATATTCTATCCAACTATGGGTGGACAAGCATGTATACAGCTTTATGAAACAGGCAGTTCAATATTGTCTGGAGGGCTGGTGTTTTTTTGTTGTTCTTTTTCTTCAGGTTTTTTTTTTTTTTGCAACTCATATTTGACAACCTGCTGTAAGTAAACCAGGCATGAAGAATTTGTATGTATGTATTTTTTTAAAGTAGATGCTACTTGGAAAATATGAATGTATCTTTAGTGTTAAAAAAACAAACACAAAAAAAGTAGTTTGAAACTTAGTGTAAGTTACACTCCTTGATAGACTCCAGATGGATGTGAGCTTGAGCTATGAGTGAAAGTGTCTGGCTCCAGTGTGGTGATCATGCACAGCAGTGGTTGTAATTGCAGGATTTTTATAGTTTAAGGACTCTGCCAGATTTTTTTTTTTTTTAACATGTTATAACTCCAGCAGAACAAATCTACTCACGTCTGTTACTGTCTGGTAGGTCCTTTAGGCAAACATGCTTTAAATAAACCTTTTGCAGGGTTTTTAGATGAAATGAAGAAAGCAGGTTTTTAGCACTAATGTTGAAAGGTCTTTGGTGAAATAATTACTGATTCTTAAGTCTTGTCTGAAGCATGAAGAACAGTAACATATTGGGCACTAACAGCCATAACTTAACTGAATTTCATCTGTTTATTCACATAGTTCTTATAATCCCTACAGATTAAAGCCAAATATTGAATTAAGTTTAAGGGTAAAATTTGTCTCTACTCTGCTTTAAAGAACTAAGTTAGATTCCCGTATAGATCTTTGTAACAGCATATTTTTTCAGTATTTACACTTAAAAATGCAGTATGAGAATTTCAAATCTGTGCAGTTAATGCCTTCAGATGTTAAACAAAGGGATTTTTCTCCATTCTATGGCTAGGAGAATGTTTACACTAGATTGTTAAGCAGTGAAAGATGCAATCCTCTAGCTTAAGTGTGGTTAACCTAATTTACAGGAGAACTCAAAATCATAATGGTGAAGTTAACATTTGTGGGTTTTAGGAAATGTTGACACTGTATTGGTTTTCCATCCTTAAGAGGAAAATCTGTAGGGATTTAGACACCTGGAAGAAGGCACAGATTTTATATTAGGTACTTGAGTCCAGAGCTGAGTCTTTGAAAACATCCCCTCTGTGGCCACCTGAAGGTGGTGGAGGATGTTCTCTTTCTCTAGGTGGCTCTCCTCCAGCCTTCAGCCTCATTTTTTTGTGCAGGAAAATGCTGTTTGCACCTGCGGGTCTGCCCTATGCACGCTCCTGTGCAGCCCTGGTTTGGGAAATGCAGCATGTTTTTTGTGTCTGCCCACGGCCCTGAGCCAGGTGCTGCTGCCACAGCTCAGCAGCCCACTAGGCCTGGTGCAGTTGGCTGGCTCAGAGCACACCTCGTAACTGAATATTGGTGGTACACTCGTAATACCCATACGTACCTGGGATTATTTTTTATATTTGAGTTTTATTACTACTGGTTTTCTAACCACCAACTGCAGGGGAGGACAAAAGTGACAAATCTATCCTGGTAATGTTGAACAAATCAGCTGGGGGAGACTAAAACACAGTTTTACTATCCATATGTGCTGTACGTGCCTGACTGGGTTGCAGCGTTACAGCTGTGTTTCAGGATATGCAATGGTGGGTGCAGAGAAATGAGTTTTCTGGGTCTGCAGTCGTGTAGGACTTAGTCACAGAGCGGAACACCAGAAGAGACATTGAGCTTGGCTTAATTTAAGCTAGTTTTGGTCTGTGTGCATCAAGGATATGCTGTTCATCAGGTTTCTTCACTTCCAGAACTGTAGAGGGAGAGTAGACACATCCATGGCAGTCAGGCCTGTGTTTGGCATGCTCAGTACAGATGACTGTACTGAGTCATCTTGCTTGGAAAAAGTAAGGAATCCTGTAGTTTACTCATAGGTTCAACTTGAAATACACTTCATGCCTGTGCGGCTTGATGAGAACCCCAGGCATGTTGGATGACTGTTGAGTGCTTAATTAGCACAGAGAAAAGTGTCATGAAATGTGAGAAACTTCTTTTTCAAAAGACTGCTTTTTAAAGCACCTTTTACCCATTCACTGCTGAGGTGTGCTGATTCATTTCTTTTTATGCCTGCATTACAACACTCACTGGAGTTTAAGAATTCCTTAAAAATAATGTAGTTTTTGTTTGCTGGCTTGGATAAATGCAGTGTTTTAACATGCGAGAAATGCTTGCAGAGGGCTGGAGTGATAGAAATGAGGTAGTGACAGTCTGTAGTAAGGGGGCAGGGAAGTGCATGTTTTGGTGGATGAGTGACTGAGAAGGGGGAGGCCTTCAACAGAGCTGGTCTTGGTTAGATCAGTTGTGAGACTGTACTGCTTGTGCAGGTGTTTATAGACGTGCAAGTTTGTTCTGTAGTTGGCTCTGCATTTTACTGTGTGATCCCTCATTTCTTTGATATTTCCAGTACTTCTGAGTAAAAATTTCTTAATTCTCTATTGTGTGGTGTCAAATGTTTGAGAGCACATATGGCAAATATGTACCTGGCTTGTTTTGCAGCACACTGCAAAGGTGCTAACAAGATTTTTTTATGAATTGCATCAAAAGATATTTGGAATCTTCAATACAAAGTGGCACAAGCTAAGTGCTTGAGCTGCTTCTTCAAGTGTAGTTAAGTGTGGTAATAATATCACTATTATATAGACATCTTAAAACTCAGAACTGGCTCTTCCTATGTCTGTTTTCTTCTGATACTACTGAAGATCTCCATTAAATTTGGTTATGTAGAAATGGTGTCCTGAATTGTGTGAAAGCATGAAAATACAGTTTAGATTTATGGATAGTCCTCATTATGTATTTGTGATCTGTCTGTTGCTGTAAAGAAGGGAGTGAGAAGAGTAAATGGTACAAATGTTATGATTAGCCGAAGGAATAAGGCTGCAATGACTACTGGTTTATGAATTTTCCTTGTTCAAACAACAGAGGTTGTTTTAGCCAGACCTCTTGTGAAGGGATGCAGGAGGGGGGTTGTCGGTGTGTATGACTCAGAATCTTAAGATGTTTTTCATGGGTCTTACATTCCAATGAACAGTTCTAAATTGTTCAGAGATAGAGAAATTTCTTTTGACACTGCTGGCAATTATCAAGGTATTTGCACTTACTTATGCCGTGTATACTCAAACGAGTTTCTATTCTGATTTTACTAATATAAAAATATCTTGTTACGTACTTGTAGACAAGTGATAACATTATTTGGATTGAAACAGTATTGCTTTACCCGATATTGTATGGCAAAACTGACAGGCTGTTTGTTTTTGTAACCTCATAGGGACTTAAGTCACAACAAATTATCTTCAATCAAGACCAGTCTCTTGGATCACCTTCATAGTCTTCAGGAAGTGTAAGTTAATTTGTCTTAATTAAAAACCAAACCAAAACAAAAACCTCCAACCAAAAATACCTAACCTTTATTTGTGTATGCTAATTGTATAGCTATTTCTCTAGGGATAGTTGGTTAAACAACAAAGATGTTTGCTCTTCTGATATTTTACATTAAGTGAAACTGGAATTATTTTTAATTTTGAGGTGACACAGTTCAGCAATTTAGCAAATTCAATGTACATACTTTTGATTAACATTAAAACTAACCCTTTTGTAATATTAATAGGAAGCTGAACTACAATGAACTGGAGATCATTCCAGATCTGGGACCAGTCTCTGCGAATATAACTCTTCTGTCTTTGTAAGTAGATCTTACTCTTGTCCCTGGTTAGTGGAACTAACTCTGCAGAGTTCATAGAAATTCGTGCATTACAGAGATTAAAGTGAAATAATTGGAAATAGAGCAGCTTGTGGTTAGGAAGTTGATTATGTCATATTATTTAGCAGATTGTTTAAAATGTGTATAATTGAGCTTAATCCTGGTAGTTTTTGTGCTTCTCTCAGATACAAAGACTGCATTAGAATTAATTTATGTTGTGGTAGTGCCCAGAAGCCTCAGTCCTGTTGCACTAGGCACTGTACAAACATCAGTAATCGTTATACAAACTTGTACAATGCAGTCTTTAAAACAAGAGTTATACTCTATCATTATGCATCTTGGCTGAGATCCTCGTGTGTTAAATCATGGTAGAATTCCATTAATTTCAGTGGGCAACACAGGGAAATCCCCTCGAGACAGCTTCAGGACAAGTATCTAGGTTAGAAGATGTTTTGCCAATGTCTCAAAAATGTCTTTCTGAGCCCATTTTAATGTGTGGCATGTTTTTTTATGGCTGCAGTTAATACATATAATTGTGGCACACAATTGTGTCCATGTTCATTGTTTATTTGAAAGAAATGGGTAGGTCAGTTGACATAGTAACATTTGTAATACGAGTATAAAGTTACACAAGGCATATAGGGCCTGTAACCAAAAAAGTTGATTTTAAACGAAATCTTAATCCTGAAGTTTTCACTTGAAATTAGTTGTTTGTTTTTTTTTCTGTGATCTAGTTTCAGTATGAACTTGTAGAAAAATAGTTACTATCATACTGTTAATTAGAAAAAAAAGAAAAGAAGTGTTTTTCATGTGTGTGATTTGCATTTTACCGATGAGAATCTAAAGTGTCTGAAGCTGTCAATATGTAGCCCTCTGGCCAAATCCTGTCCTTGAATACAAATTGCAAGTTACCTTGCTTGAAGAAGCCTGAAGGGTTAAAACAATACAGTAAATTTTGGAAGGATGTTCAGTTAATTAAATTGATCACTATTCAATTGCTTACATCTGGTGATTTATAGGGGTTTGTTGTTACTCTAGGCCCAGGTCAGCTAAGTCAGCTGGTGCAGCCGCTGTGTCTGGACTGCTCTGTTTGAATAAGAACTAAGTGACATTTGATACTGATGTGGTTTCTTACAGATCAAAATCTGAAAAAAATGAAAGAAAAAGCAGATGGTTTCTGACAAATAAGTGTTGCATTTAAGCACATCTTTTATTTTGCAGTACCATTGACATTATTTTTACACTGACATAACATTCTGTACTTTAAGCATCTAAATGATCTAAAGAATATATACTTTTTTTGCCGCCTTGCTAAGGTTCTTTTTACCACAAGGCTAGAAATATTAACATAATAAAGTGGTTTATATCCTCCTGTTTTACTTCTGATGAATACAAAGTTGAGAATTTATCTTAACGTCTCCTTTAATTCTTCTCATGGAAACCTAACAAGTTTAGATGAACCTAAAATCGTCTTCTGCCGCTGTGCAAAAATTTTTGTATTCCTTTGAGAGAATTATCAGGCACTGCTGAATTGGTTATTTCATATCTTTAGGTCCCTGGCTTGGTTCATTTACTCAGGTGGTCAAACATGGAAAGATCTTCATTAGATCTGCTCTGTACTGTATATGCTGACGCGTAAGAGGGGGAAAAAAGGTATTTCTAGAAGTGTTATCATACTACCAATGCAGTTAAAGTTGGTCTGGTTGGGTGTTAGCTTGTTCTCGCTCTAATTCTTTGTGTGGAAAAGGAGATTACTGAATATAACTGTGCTACAGCTGAGATTTAATGACTATTCTATGACTACATCAGAGATTCCTTGAGATTAATGTGGTAGAAATTAAGTATTTAAATATTATATGTTAACTTATGAATGTCGATGTACAATAGTTAATTGTTCTGTATGAAAACAGATGAACATAAAACATAAAATTAAAGTGGTATTGTTCAGAAATAAAGCATCTTGTTTGTTTTGCGAAAGTTTTCTTTAAAACATGGAATAGAATCACAGAATCTTTTAAGTTGAAAAAGACCTTTAAAATCATCGAGTCCAACTATTAACCCAGCGCTGCTAAGTCCACCACTAAACCATGTCTGTAAATGCCACATCTGCACATCTTTTAAATGTCTCCCGGGATGGTGACTTAACCCCTTTCCTAGGTAGCATGTTACAGTGCTTGAGAACCCTTACTATGATGAAATTTTTCCTAATTTCAATCTAAACCTCCCCTGGCACAACTTGAGGCCATTTCCTCCTGTCCTATCACTTGTTACTTCAGAGACCGACCCCCACCTTGCTATAACCTCCTTTCAGGTAGTTGTAGAGAGTAATAAGATCTCTCTTGAGCCTCCTTTTCTCACTGGTTAGATGTTATATATTAAATCTCATTTTACAGAAAATAATATAAATGAAGAGAAATAAACATACAGCAGTTGTCTAGCATAAAAATACATGTAATATAGTGGTAGCATAGAAGGACAAATATTCAATATAATGATACTTTTTTTGGTAAAAGTGAAAAAATATGTTCATTTATTTTTTTCTGTGGTGGATGTTATTTGAAAGGGGTTGAATCAAACTAAATTAATATATCTAAGTCATGCAAAGACAACACATAGGGAACAATTAGAATATAATTTTTAGAACCACTCTTCAAAGAAACATCTAATGACTGTCTCCAGGATTTTAAACTTCTATGTGAAAGGAGCTTGTGGAGACTTTCCAGAGCAAACCACTGTTTCCTTGTTGCATCTTTGTTCTGACTTTCAAATAATAGCAGAAAAGAGGATGCTAGTTTCCTTTTGAAACTTGATTTGATTACATGTCTTATGAGATATGTATATGTTGGTTCATTAGTGTCAGTTGAAAAACCAGTTGTTTTTTATCAAGGAGTCTTCAAGGAATGCTGTGAAAGTGGTGCCCTCTTTTCTTGCCAATATCTTTATTGTAGAAGAAGCTCTCTCCCAAGAGTTTTATTTTACTTCTTTATAATTGTCACTCAGCTAGGGAACCTTAAAATTTTACCTGTTCTGCAAGAATTTTCTTGCCCTGCAGAGAAAATTATACTGTTGATATGTTTGCATAATAATGTGGGTATCTCCACACAGCTGTGTATATCTAAATTCTCGGAGCAGTATAAACAAGCATAGGTGGATTATCATGTTAGTGTAGTTTCCATTTCTGGAGCTGCCTCATTTCTACCTACCTAATTCATATATACCTAATGGAGATATTTACATACTAATGAATTATTCAAGGTAAACCCAGAGCAGCAGATGTTCCCGGTCTCATGGTCCCAGTTGTCTGTGACATGAAACAACAATGCCAGTATTTTGTTTTTACAGATGCCAGTTGAGAGTTGACCATCATGGGAGAGAAAAGTATCAGGCAGGCATACATCCCCTCACCACCCTGGGAAGACCTTATGTCAGTGTGAGCGAGTATACAAGCATATTCAGGCACACTCTTATTACATGGCTGGAGATGCATCTATGATTTTATTCATGTGATGAATATGTATCTTGTCACATGGAATAGGAGAGCTTGTGAACCTCCTGGGAATCTGGAAACTCCTGTGAGCTATATGGCTGGTACTTTGGGCTAAATCTAGTCAGGAGGCCTTATGTTGTGAAGCTGTGTTGGCCTGCCTGACATAAACAAATACAATATGTTTCAGAGAAAGCAAAGAGTAGGATTCATATTCCCTACCCTAATTTCTTGAAAGTTTGACTTTGTAAGTATGAATTACTGTCAATCCTCTTAGAGTAGTGTAGGTGTATTTATCTATCCCTAGAAGAAAAATGTTAGATGTTTTCTAATTTGTGTTCCTGAAGTGCATATAAAACCAGTTAAATAATGTAGAATTACTTTAAATGATTGTAGTAGAAAATTGTTCATTTGTGGGAAAAAACAATTTACTTTTTACCATTTCAAGACAGGTGGATTGCTTTTGTGTCAGGTATTAAAATGGGCACTAATGCCCTCATTGCAGGAGAACAAGCAAAGATTCTGAATTGGTTTTCCATTCTAATGACATTCCTTATCCAAGATATATCAGTCCTCTCCTATTTATCCTGAAAATTGGCCCAAATAGGTGATGTTGATACATGAGAAAAAAAACAGTATTGCATTTTAGGTCTATCACAGTTGTAGTTTTGTGCCCAGGTTGAATCCAGAAATTGAGAGAAACCAAGTAATATATATATAAAATAGCCTTGTATAGAAGTCCTGCTTGGTGTTTAACTAACAACTACCATTTGCATGGGGGTTTTTCTGAAAGTGTTACCTACTTTTAGTGTTATTAGTGCTTTATAAGGAAGAAAGATATTGGTTTGCAAATTATGTGATGCTGTTTAAAGTTTGTTCAAGGATATGTGGTTTAAATAAGAAACCCATGCTACTTGCAGAATTTTTAAAAATATGTAGTTGTAGGCTCCATCCAACATCATCAATGCACCGTATCCATGAGTAATGTGGAAAATGGAAGGCAGAAGTGACTTTGAAGAGACAGAACAGCTTTGAGTATTAAAGTATCCTGACTCTCTAACTGGATTTTATTGTTCTAATAAAAATGCATGTGTAGAACTAATTTTAAAGACACGTTTCTTATTACCCGTGTCCAGACTATGTTAATGTAGTAATCGTTTTGCTGTCTGTAGAGACTAGATAAGCTGTACATAGCCAAGTCTATAGTGCACATAGTGAAATTCCAGCATTAGACTAGTTTTCAACAATGGAGTGTTTTAAACTTGTGATTTTAGATTTTATTGGATAGAAAATATTTAAAGGCACTAGCATATATGGTGCAGGTGATTTAAATGAAAATAACCTTGTGGCTTTTGTTGTAAAGACTGATCATGTTAGTCTAGAACACAAAGAAATATTTGGTCTTTTTAAAACCAGACTAGAAAATGCAAAATTCACAGTGCAGAAGTTAAAGGGAGCATGGATGATTCACAATTCAGGAATGTTTTTCAAGTTTTAT